CATCACATATATAACAACGAGCCAAATCAGGGAACCTCGATTGAGCACCTTAGGTCGTCGATTACGTGGAATGGCTCTTATATATATAAATATACTTTTTCTCTTGAGATATTTATTCAGTTTTAATTTGATCAAAAACGATAAGAAGATTACTATTAACATAAATCAATAATGTTTAAGATTTACATTTTGTTGTTTTTTATTTCGAATAAGGATGTTCTTTATTATAGCATGTATTTAATGTGGCTATCATCAATGTCGGTTCACCAGCTGGTGGTGTAAATGCTGCTGTTCGTTCACTTGTTCGTTATGGTTTATGTGAAGGATTTAATATGTATGCTATATTTGATGGGTTTGAAGGTTTAGTCAATAATCAAGTATGAAAATCTGTTTTTTTTTTGAAAAAAAAACCATTTAAAAAAAATACTTCTATGTACTGCAGGTTAAAAGTTTACATTGGATGTCAGTTAATGGTTGGAGTAGTGTTGGTGGTTCATTACTTGGTTCTCAAAAGTAAATTGCTAATAAATAAATATGATAATAAAAAATAAAAATATTTTTTTCATTTGAATTTAGAACGACAGCAAATAAAGTTGGTTTAACAAAAATAGCTGAAAAATTTCGTGAATATAACTTTCATGCTATAATAGTCATTGGTGGATATGAAGTAAATGAAAATATTTAATAAAAAAAAAAGAAAAATTTTCATTTTACAAAAATTTTTTTTAGTCCTATTTGTCTGTTGTCCAATTATATGAAGCACGAAATAAAAATATTGAATTTCAAATTCCATTGATTTGCATCCCAGCTACTATATCAAATAATGTACCGGGTACTGAATTTAGTATTGGTGCTGATACAGCACTGAATGAAATAGTCAAAGTTTGTATTAAAAGAACAACAAACTAATTAAAAATAAATTATTTTTTTTTTTGTTATGTGAATTAAGATTTGTGACAAAATCACACAATCTGCACAAGGTTCCAAACGACGTATATTTGTTATTGAAACTATGGGTGGTTATTGTGGTTATTTAGCTACAATGGCTGCACTTGCTAGTGGAGCTGATCAAGCATATATATATGAAGAACCCTTTACAATAAAAGATTTAATTGATGATGTTGATCATTTACGTAAAAAAATGGAAGGACATTTAAAACGTGGTCTTTTACTTCGCAATGAAATGGCTAATGAACATTATTCAACAGAATTCATTACAAAATTACTCCAAGAAGAAGGCAAAGGAGTGTTTAGTGCACGATCTAATGTTCTTGGTCATATGCAACAAGTAAAAAAATCAAAATTTATTTTAATGTCTAGGACTTATAGAATTTCGCCAATTTTACTGTAAACTAAATATGGATTTAAAAAATTCCTATTAACTGCATTGATGAGTGTAAGCTAAAATATGTATACCTATGTATGGTTTTTTTAAAAATAATATTAGCTTCAGTCGTCACATACATACTACATTACGATTGTTTCATGACAGCTTCGAGAAGTCATATTGGCGAAATTTCGACTTTCGAATGTGTTAATATGTAAATTTTGTTTTTGTCTCTGTGTAGGGTGGTTTACCATCACCATTTGATCGTGCATTTGCAACAAAATTGGGGTGTAAAGCAATATCATATGTTGTATCACTTTTTGAAAAATCATCAACAGGAGATGGAAAAGTCGTATCTAACACAGCAGAAAGTGCTGTTGTATTAGGTTTAATTAAACGACAAAATGAATTTACATCGATAGAAATACTAAAGACAAAAACTGATACCGAGTAAATTATTTAAATTTTATTTGTTGAATTATAATTTTATTATTTTCTTTAAATTTCATTTAGACATCGTATGCCTCTTGAACAGTGGTGGCTGAAACTTCGACCATTACTTCGAATTTTAGCTAAACATGAAAGTGTTTATATTAGTGATTTGGTCGAATCAGGTGTCGACGACATTGATCAATCACAATAGATTTTCTATCCTTTTATTTTCCTTTATTTTTGTAGTGAACCTCGAATATTCTTTTATTTTTTCTTCGTTCTCATTTACCTATCTTACAATGACCTGTTTTTTTTCTTTTTCGTTTTTTTTCTCTAGTCCTCCTAGTGAGTTACATCTGTTAATCGATAAAATATTCTATTCATTTTTTTTCTCTTATGAAGACCAAAATACAAATAACCTATAATTTCTCCATTGAATGAGAATGATTTATTGTTTAATTGTGTATTAGCGCGGACATATATGTTTATATATAAATGAGACTCGTAATAAACAATGGAAGTCTTAGTAAATAAGTTGGATAAGAACAGTTGACAAGTTACTAAGTAGTAGATATGATTTGTAATATAATATCTCATGTTTTTTTTTTCATACTTATTATGAATATGACAGCAGAAATTTTCGATCTATACACATCCATATTTATTTTGTACAATCGATTTTTATTTTTTTCACTTGAAATGTTAGTGAGTGAGTGTAAGATTAATAAGTAAAGAAGAGAGAGAGAGAGAAATGGATGAAAGAAACCAAACAGCATGAATAAAATGAAAACAACAATTGGCTTGTTCACCTGAATGTACAAATATGATGAATAGTGTTTCAATATACAGTTCTTGTCATCGCTATTCGATCTGGAAATAATACATCTATTTATATTGGCATTGTTATTCCATTTTAAGCTACATTGATTCTATGTTCGATGATTGATAATGGCTGGCAGCAGCAGTTATAGGCTATTATTGTGCTTGCCTGATGGCATTTATATGTGTATGTATGACGGTAGCAAAAAAAGAGAAAAAAAGAGAAGGGAGGGTCATGTCTGTTTATTCGATTACAGTCTTATAAGCATATGCATGTCTTTATTCTTGTTCTCTTATGTTTATCAGAAGCATTAGTTCGTCCCTGTTAGATAGAAATGTGTGCACTAGTGAAGTTGACTCTTTTTGCTTGTGTTTATCTGCATTCACTTAATGCTTTAAAAAAAGCACTAGAAATGCATTTTAATTGCATTTTACCTCTACATAGTTGTTATTCTTAAGGTAGTAAACGAGATGTCTTATCATATTCATAAAACTCCAATAATTGATGCATTCAATTATGTGTTTTTTGATTGTATCAAAGTCTGCTAATCAGATAATGTATAGTAATAATATCTTTTTTTTTTCTTATGTTACATTAGTTGTGCGTAGGAGAATTTCACAGTCAATATGTTATGTTTGACCTTCTATTTATTCATTGTACTTTTTTTTTTGAAAGCAAGCAACAAGCATTCTATTTGTGCAAATAGTCATCCCACGTCTACATACATGAATATGTATATATAAATCTCGACTTGCCTTCTTTGTCTCACTTCGAATTTTTCTTTTTCTTTGTCTTGAACACAGCTGTTTCGAGTGTACATGAATACGACGTCTGGACAAAGAGCATGAGAAATAACGAGACCGAAAGAAAGAAAATAGTGAAAGAACGACGTCTTTCTCTTTGTTATTATCAAAGACATTCAATTACCATTCTCATATTTTTTTTTCTCTCTGTTTCGTCGTGGTATGTCGTCTAATCCCACACTATGGCATTACTCATCTCTATTTCTTTTCTGTTTTTTTCTTTTTGCTTTTTTTTTATTTATAGACGGTTGATAGGTGTTGTTGTTCTTTTTTTTGGCAACCATCACGTCTTATTCATTTTTCTCTACTTGCTTCGTTTATTATTTGACTTCAACTACCGATTATATCGCGTACCTATCACCAATAACGAATATCTTTTTTTTTTTTTGCTTACTTATTGTATTCAGTCAAACGATCAATTAATGGAGACTCAAACGACGACAACTGTTAACAATGATGGTGATGTAAGATTAAGAGAAAAAAAAGGAACAGCATCAAAACAAAATGGTAATGGCTTACATGATGATATGAAGTCGTTATCAACACCTAAAACTGCTTCAACAGCTGACGACATAGGTCATGATGAAGCGACAACATCACCAAGGCCACAAGCATCAACATTTGAACAAGCATTTTTTTTAGGTTTAACTATTGATGATGCACTTAATTCAACTGAAAATCTCTTAGAATTATTTTATAATTCATGCAAATATAATCAATTAGAACTTGTGAAACGATGCGTTGAAGAAAAACATGTGAATATAAATGAACCATTTAATAATGATTATTCATTATGTATTGCTAGGTAAGTTTGTTTGATTGTTACAAAATATTTATCGAGAATAAAAGAAAATGGTTTGTAGTATCTTGTTTTAAAATAGATGATATTATGCAAGCATTTGTTTTCTTCAACCTTTTTAGCCACAAAGGTCATCTCGAAGTAGTTCGTTATTTATTAGCACATGGTGCTGACGTTCATGTCAAGCGAGAGTTAAATCTATTAGCTACACGTGGAAATCATCGTCTATCACGAGCTAATTTGACGTATGGTGATAGTCCGCTTTCACTTGCAGTTAAATATGGTTTTGAAGATATTGCTATTGAGCTTGTTGAACACGGAAGTGATATATTGAATGAAAACAATGAATTTGAAAAGTCTCCATTACAAGATTCTATTCGACTAAATCGTATTCGAATTTTAAAAGTTTTTATTGATAACCTTAGAACAACGAAAGCATCTCTTCATGATGATGAGACATTATTAATACAAAAGAAAGGTGATATTCTTCGTCAATGTCTTATTAATGATCAAATAGATGCGTTACATATTTTTGTTCCTCATGTATGGGAAGAACTTAATAGTGACTTTATGTTTACTGTATTAAATAATCTTATGTTAAAAAATAAAATTCAATCGGACAAAGCATTTGATGTATTGGAAACTATACTCGAAGCTATACCAACATCGAAATTAAAAATGTATGATATTGGTGATTTACTTAGACGATTTTTACATATTTTACAAGCACAATTCGTAACAATCAGTGATGATCGAATTCAAATTCTTTATTTACGTACATCATTATTATTTACTATACTGAAATATCATGAGACAATTGATTTTACTAATTATTTAGATTTATTAGATGCTTATTTTCGTGCTATTTATGATAATGTTGAAAGTTCAGGTATATATATATATCAATAAGAGAATTTTGCTTTGTTTTTGATCTAGCTAACATGTTTGTACTTTAGGCGAAGGTGTCAATCAAATATACGAATATATTGTTCGTTTTTATGAAAATCTTATCTTAATGGGTCATCTTGATCTAACAAAAAATACTGTTATTCTTAAATTACTTGAATGTGAACATGTTCAACAAATGCAACCTATTGATATGTATTTATCATGGCGTGCACGTAACCCATTTTTATTGAAAGAAAAATGTCGTCTGATCATAAAAAATATATTACCATCTTATAAACGTGTTACAATTGAAAAACTAAATCTTAATGAAGATACACTTTTATATTTATACTATCAACGATAGTAGTTCATTATTATCATAAACACTCGCAATAGTGATATTCAGTGTCGTTAGTTGTGATATGAAAAGAATAATGCGTGTTTTTTTTCTCCTAATTTGCGTGTGTTTGATAATAATGTCTCTTAGGTTTTTATATCGAACAAAACAAAAGACAAAATCTACATTATAGAATGGAATGATTGAAAAAAATCTGGATATAACAGTGTGTGCTTCTGTCTTTTGTTTCATTTTTATAAGTTTAGTTTTTTTGTGTTTTTGTTCTTGAAAAACTTTGAATGTCATACCATAAGTAGAATAAATTAAACAAACGAAATAATGGAATGAATTTGACCGAAAGAAAAAATGTCGAAGGGATTTATAACAAAAAAGAATGTCGCAAAAAGTTTATTCTAAAAGAGTCTCAACCTATAAGATAAAAATACTTCATTGCATACAAAAAAAGAAAATCAGAGACCTATAAATACATCAACAAGAGATAATAGTGTATGGCAAATATTCAAGAATTAAAATAACAACAAGACAATATGTTTCTTTTATATGAATGAGTATGGATGTCTGTATGAGGTGTGCATAGGAATATTAGTCATCTCTTCACACCTACCCCCTACACTCATAAGCATACTTCATCCTTAATAGATTTAATGACATCTGGAATATTGCACGACATTTCTAAGGGATATCTATTTCTTTGATATTTTTTCGTTCGGTCTAAAGCGATACATGCCAAAAGAAAAGACGATTAGAACTTAAGTTACTTCTGATTATTCAATTAAAGAATATTTGTAGAAAAAAAAATGGCAACAAGAAATATAACTAAAATCTCTCGTTCGTCTTCTTGGCCTTTCCAATCTTCTACAGATTTATTATCAAATGAAACATGTTGGTTTATTTCTCTTCCATCTGAAATTCTTCAAATTATTATTGACTTTTTAAGTATAAAAGATATCATTTCATTATGTCAAACTTGTCAAACATTTTATACATTGCTTAATGATAATAATTTTTGGACGCATCGTATACATCGTTACTTTCCACACTCTATTGCAAGTCTTTATACAATTGATCTATTTCAAAAACCTGAAATAATTCAAACACATAATGAAATACGTCCATCAGGTTTTACTCATGTTCGAACAGATGCTGAACTTGATCTTCTTGCTATTACGTCAGCTACTCATTATAATGATGAAGCAATCGAAAAATGTCATGCAAAAATGTATGTATCAAAGGAAGATTTTTTAAACCAAGTAGAATTTTATCAATTTAAAAGACCGAATAATTATTTGGAAATTCCATTTATGAAATTAATCTATTTTTATTTGATTGATCGTAAACGACATGCAACTGTTAATATGGATGTTATTCATCGCACTGAATATTATCTTAGAGAAGAAAATGATGCAGACAGTTTAACTGGTCGTATTATTCATTTACAAAGCGTTTGTTGGCTTGAAATAACTGGTCGTTTTGAACATAAAATTATGCCAGGAAAATATGAAGTTAGCTGGCGAATAAAATGTGATATAAATGGTAAAATATG